GGAGTAATCGGGCGAGTAATTTCACAACGCACGAGGCTGATTTGAAATTACAAACCCGATTAAGGTTGTGATTGGAAGACACGAATTCCTATTACCAATAAATTGTCTGAGTAGCAAAATGCGAGAATCTCAGTATTGGAATATTTATCAGTGTTGGTAGAAGTTTTTATTAAATCAGCTTACAGCTTCGAAAGAACAGATCCCCTAGTTGTCTTAGTTTGTTGTATTCTATACTTCAGGATCTGTATCGTTGCCGTTAGTTTCAAGGCTTTCCAAATCAATAACGTTTAACAGGTTGTCAAAGTCTACAGACAAAAAAAATCTAACCAAAAGTCATTGGGCCAATTACATTTAGGCCATTTTTCGTTTCATTGAAGCTGAAGATGGACAGCCTGCCTAGTCTTTTTTTCTTTTCTTTTTTTTTTTCTTTTCATTGATTTTTGATCGGTTACCTTGGCTATGTCGTTAAATGTCATTGGCTAGTAACATTACCATTGACTGCTTAACTGTCTGATTCAGTAAACCTGTCCGATTACAAGTTCTTGGTAAACGCACAGGTCAAATCAGACAGTTTTGGTGTTTCAATAGCAAATTTTAAGCAATAAATATGGGCTGTTAAGAACCAATCAGATTCGAAAATTTTCACTTAATGCCATTGACAATTAAGCCATCAAGTGAACTTTCCTCCAAAAACCAATCGACCTTCTATTGCAGGTTATATAAATTAGAATTGTCTTTTGAGATAGACACAATAGAATGGACTAAAGTTTAGCATATAGACTATTAAGCGTAACGAGAAAAGAATCAGCAACTGTCATGAATTCTAAATAGAGTGATTGGATTTTCCATTGGGAACATGTAGTTCAGTATTCCAAATTTTCAATAACGCATGAGAAAGTTCAGACTAGTAGACAACTTAAAACTGAACGAGAATTCGTGCATAAAGTTGGTATGGGGCAGTTGTGACTAAATACTATTATCATATTAAAGTCATTCATAAAAAATACTGCCTAGTGTTAATGGTAATGGAATAACTAGGAAAGAAGAAGGCAAATATACAACGCGAGAAGCTTAAATTTTCCATGATATTGAAGGCAAAACGACAATCAAGGTTTCTTCAAAGCTGATATTAAGTAAAAACAAAACAAAACAAAGATATTGACCCTTTATCGAACCAAGTTCCTTAAAGTGAAACTTCCAATTCATCTGACTCAAAAAACTTTCAAGTGTCTTCTACCATTACAAGTCAGCGACCTCATCATAAATGCAAAGCCTGGAGCTTGTTTATCGGCGGGGAAAGAAATTTTCGCCGAACTCGACAGAGCTTATCATAAAAGCCTTTTCTCTTGGCGCATACAATAATCTCCGTTTCCTTTTCACTTTCCCGCGATAAATCTGATATCTTCTCCACAGTGCAACGGTTTCCGAAAGAATTAACGGTGATAAATTTATAGATAGCGTAAAACTACCAAAATGAAAATCGAAGGCCAAAAAAGAAGCCGGCATTCTTCCGCGCGGACAATTTCTGTTATTATAAGCTTTTCCTTCAGCTGACCAAGCACGAAAATGAGCGAAAACGTATTACATCTGTTAAATAATCTCCTAAAACATTCTTATTAAGTAATTCTGATTTGCAAAGCGGACGCGCTGAAGATTTTATGATAAACATAACACAATGAAACTAACTGATTTACATTGGCGAAAAAGAAATCGCCGCCACAAAAATCGTTTGAAGAGAATCTTGTTGCTTGTTTTAGACAAAATCAGAGTTATTTCAAACAGGAAGATCTTCATAAGGAAGCGGTCTGCAGAAAGTATTACTCACTAGAATTGCGTCAACTGATATTGTCGGCTTAAGATATCTAAAGGTGAAAACAAAAACTGGGACCTATGTAAAGGTAAAAACGGATGCATGATTATTTTCAAAAGATCGAAAATTTATTTCATGTCCGGCGTCTCTCTCCTCATAATCAAATCTTCTAAGGTAACCAAACTCGTTAACGCAGGTGGACTTGGACTTACAAGGACTTGGCAATCAGTTCCAAACACAAAACGAAGTAAAGCCACTCGAACAGATATTTTCATTGCTCTCCTTTTGCATTTAAATTATGAAAAAATTCCCCTTTCTAATAATATCATCATCATCATCATAATAAACACCATTATTATCATTATGGGTGGTCTTGGGATCACAAACCCATGTAATATTGCAGCCTCGGAAAACGAAGCTTCAACTGCGACAACTGAACCCCTGGTCGAACAGATAATGGCGCAGACGCACGAGCTCCCGGACGATCGTGCAGTTAGAACACTGCAGCAATGTAACCGTAGAGAGAAGAATGCGCGCCTTAGAGACAACCTAGAGGGAGTGACGAATGCCCTTCCTGAAGAAACTAAGACACCTGCCGACCTTGCCGCAGAGAAAGGGGCGTCTAGCTGGCTTACGTTCATTCCAGTTAAAGATGTGGACTTTACTCTAACGAAGGGAGAATTCAAAGACGCCATTCATTTGAAATATGATTGGCAAATAAGCGAAACCCCGTCTGCTTGTGCGTGTGGAGTTGTTTTCGACGTAGACCACGCCATGGTGTGCAGACAAGGAGGCTTCATCATTCAAAAGCATAACGAGCTGCGTGATTTGGAAGCCCAAATGTTAAAGATGGAATGCAATGACGTCCAAATTGAACCGGTACTTCGGGAGATAAAAGGAGAGGTACTGAAACCTAGTACGAACAGAGCAGCGGATGCCCGGCTTGACATTTACGCTCGTGGCTTTTGGGAGTTACGTTAGGGTTTGTTACCCGAATGCAGAGTCTTATAAACTCCTCACCACAAAACACATCTACTACCTGCATTAGAGTGAGAAGAGGAGAATGTACACCAGCAGGGTACTAGAAGTCGAACAAGGCTCCTTTATTCCACTGGTATTTACTACCACTGGAGGAATGGCAGATGAATTCAAGAGATATCACAGTAGACTGGCTGAGCTTTTATCAACCAAGAAACTAAGGAGAGGACTATAGTATTACAATGTCATGGATTTGCGACAAACTCTCTTTCGCCCTCCTGAGGTCTGCCCCGTTGTGCTTGAGAGGTTCACGTTGAGCTTGAAGAACTTCGCTGAACATTACAGATAACGACTTTGAAATCGATAAGGAACGAGCGAGATTTTAGGATTAGAGCTTTTAATATTTTTCACATTTAGGATATAATACAGGCTTGGAAATTTATAAGGAACCAGCGAGATTTTAGTGCTAATACTTTTAATATTTATCACATTTAGGATTAATATTTTTTTTAACTCTTGTCCTATGTTGATTAAGAATAAGTCCAAGAAACATTCGGAGCTTTTTAAGATGATGATGATTATTATTATTATCATTATTATTATCATCATCATCATCATCATCATTATTATTAGGAGTGCGCTGACTACTGCCTTCATTCTACAGGATAATCTGGACCACAAATCTAATCCTTTAAAGGAAAATTGGAGATAAAACAATTCCTAGATATCTGTATCCATCACTAATCGTCGGCTTTTCTTGGAAGTTTTACGTGATGTTTTGTCTGACACTTCACACCTCTTGGCAATTCCCTTCTAGACGAAATATTTCCTTCTCTTTGCTTTCTCTTTTTCATTCGGAATCGGATTTTCCAACTTGACAAATTGTTTAAAAAACACAATGAAAATCGAAAAAAAAGTCGCGAAAAGAAGAAAGGAAAAGAACGGCGATACCTAATATGAGGGTTGTGCAATGTTTTATCAAGCTGCTTAAAAACTCCAGGTACTTTCGTCTTGGTTAAACAAAAAATAAAACTACTGTAAATTCTCTCATTCTTCCATTAAATCCTCAGAGTGGATTGTTTAAGCAAAGACGGATGGAGCTAAGACTAGAGATTTCCACATTATATCAGATTAAAGGACGCTAGTACGTTTTGTATCCTCGACGTACACGAAAAAAATAAAACCTCATGTTCTCTTGTGTTGAGAAAAAAAGGAAGAAACGCGGCCTGAGTTCAAGGCACATATTGTCATCTATTATGCATCGATCAGTTAGCTCGGGTATTGTTCCTGACCAAATGACAAATTGCTCGTGAGAGTTTTTGATATGTTGCAGTATTTCGAAACGATTTTACTTTCAGTGGAAAGCCTTTGATCCTCTTAGCAAGATGAGATATATTTTATGGGTGGTGGCGCTGCTGGAGGCCTGTGAACTGGAGTTTGCTTGAACAAACACAGCTTTTTTTGTTGATATCTCGCGCATAGGTGACTACACTGCGTTCTAAACTTGACTGAGCAGATCCTCTTTTTGCTGCACTAAGTCTCACATTTATTAAGAGGTCATGAAGTTTGTTTGTTTCATCCATATTCAGTAATTATTTCCTGTGGTTAATGCTTCTGTACGTGTTGCTGATTAGAATCTGTTGATCTCAGATGCAGTTGTAAAGTCCTAATTTCTTTGACCACTCTGAAAGCCTAAAGCTTTTTATTATGACAACATTTCCGATATCTGGTCGTTTATAGTACTTTTTAGAGGGGAAATTGTGATCATACAGGTTTTCGATAAGGATATTTCTTCTTTGGCCATAGCAAAGACAGTAAAGATCATGCTCCTGCCAAAACCTGTTGACAAAATTTCCATTACATCTCTGCTTTGAAGAACCACCGTAAATGGCCATTTCCTGTTTAGGCTTCAATACAATTGCCCTCTTTTCCCGTCAAATATTCAAGATCGACGACGCTCAGCTCCGGTCAACGTTCCTCTGATATTTTGATTTTGTTTTGCGGAGATAATTTGTTCAGTCCGTCGAAACTCTCCCATGGGAGATTACCAAAATATTTGATTGACGGGCGAACATCTGAACCAATCGGAACGATCCGTACGCTGGCGGTTTTTCAAGTTGCTCCCGCCCTAATCTCCTCCCGGTTTCTCTGCCCTCGCCCACCTTTATTACTTAGCGCGCCCAACCAAAACCGCCAAGCTACGCAGGCTAATACTGATCGGACATCATCCCACCAAAACTACAATCGACTGGATCGTGGTAAAACCTGTTTGACTCTCGGGATTTTTTTTGTATTTTCGGGACTCTCTAAAAGAGAAAATTTGATAATTTCTTTCTGCTGCTTTTGTGGAAAAACATGTCGGAAGAAGCTGCCGAAGCTGCCCCAGCTCAAAACACAAGATTTTTTACTGGAAAAACAATGAACTTTGAAAGACCGAAGTTCAACCCTCGCCTAGAAAATCGCCTGGAAGCTATAACAGCCTTTAAGAAAAAGTGTGGTTACATCTTCAAAAGAAGCCTTGTTAACATCTCAAACGAAAGGAAATACATACTGGTACAAGACTGGCTCGGACCTGAAGGCCAAAAAATTTACGATAGTTTAGATTGGTTCGAAGGTGAGGATATAAACGACTATGATCTGATGTGGACTAAGTTGCAGAGAGCGGTAAGTCTGGAAGGTAACGAGATCTTTGCCTCTAAGAAATTCAAGAAAGGAGTGTAAAAACCTGGAGAGACATTCACTGTTTTTATCATTGATTTGATGCCGTTAGTGAAAGAGTATAATTACGCAGACGAAGATATACAAGTGAGAGATCAATTTTTTTTGTGGAGTATCTGATGAAGAATTAAAGGTAGAAAAGATGACAAGAAAGAAGAAATACTCTCACACGAGTTGAAGCTACTGCGATTGGCAAAGCCTATGAAAGCGCTAAACTTGAAGTTCAGGGATGCAGTGCAAAACAACCTGTAAAGGAGAATGTAAACGTCGTGTCTAAAGATAAACAAAAGAAAGTTCTCATGTGTAATTACTGTGCCAACAAGAAAGGAGCTCATACCTTTTCAGGCAAAAATCTCTGTCCTTCCTAGGGAGCAGTATGCAAAAAATGCAAGATCAAAAATCACGAGCAAGATTCAAAGGAGTGTAAACGGTTAGAAAGAGAGAAACAAAGAAAACAGTCAGATCCAAAGCATTCGAAATCGTCGAAAAAACCGTTTGTCCCGAAAGTAGAAGAAGAAGATGGCGAACACAACTATGAAGGTCTGGAAAAAAATATGTGTACTCAATCAGGACGGTGACCAGAAGAAAGCCTTTGCAAACCTGTTGCTATCAAAGAAACGAATTCCTGTGAAGTTTCAGATAGACTCAGGTTCTACATGTAGTATTTTTACTGTGAATGTATACAAGGATATAAGTGGAGATAATAATTTAAAGGATCTCAACACTGCATTCAAGCCTGTTCTGTCTCTGTATGATAAAGAAACATAAAATGCAGACGGTGGGCACCAGAAAAGTCTTTGTATTTAATCCTGCTACCAAGGAAGAAGTGATTATTCAGTTTAGAATTGTTGAGAGAACCCTGACACCCCTCATTGGTCTTCATGATTTAGAAATTTCAAAACTTGTTGAACTTTTACGAGAGAACATTGCCGTTGTGGGACCAGCTAATCCAAGTGTCCCTCCAACAGCCACTGAGGTGTCAACACTTTATCCCTGGAAACCATTCTGACTAACTACCCTAAGATATTTGATGACGGTCTGGGGAAGTTTGAGAGCACATTGCATCTTTACACAAAGGATGATGTTAAACCACACAAAACAGCTCTAAGAGAAATCCCTGTGTCTGTTAAGTAACCTCATTGCTGAATTGCAAGACCTCCAACAACAAGGTATACTGGAGAAAGTGACTGAGCCCACTGAATGGGTGAGTGCTCCTCCAATTGTAAACAAGCCGTCTGCTAAGAATGGAACAAGGCAATGCATAGATAGCAGACCACTGAACACAGCACTCAAGCGCTCTGAGTGCCCAATTCTAACTGTTGATCATCTGCTCACAGAAATTAGCAACGCTTAAGTGTTTTCCTTAGCTGATATCAAGTCTGCCTTTTGGCACATCCTATTAGATAAAGAAAGCTCTCTGTTGACGACGTTTAATACCCCTTTTGGAAGGATGAGATGGAACAGAATGCCTTTCGGCATTAGTGTAGCTCCTGAAGAATTTCAAATAAGAATCGACGAGAAGTTAGAAGGATTAGACGGTGTTAAAGCAATAGCTGATGACATCCTGATCTAGGGTGATCGTGAAACCATTGAAGAGGCGACAGCCAGTCATGACAAACGCCTGTTTACTTTGCTAGAACGATGCAAACAGAAGAATATTAAACTTAACAAAGAGAAGTTCCAACTCCGGAAGACTGAATTGTCCTGCATGGGTGTGGTTCTGACAGACAAAGGTGTTAAACCCGACCCCAAGAAACAAGATTGTATTCAATCAGTGCCTGCTCCAACAAACAAAGATGAAGTCAGACGATTACTTGTGTAGTAACTTACCTCTCATGATTTTCTGAGGACTTGTTAACCAAGTCAGAACCGCTACGAACATTGTTCAAAAAAGAAACTGTGTTCATCTGGGAAGCAAATAAACGGAAAGCATTTGAAGAAATTAAGACCCTCATCTCAACGCACCATTATTGAACCACTTCAACCCGGTCGAGACAGTAAAAATACAAGTTGAAGCATCATCAAGTGGATTAGGAACATGCCTCAAGCAAGGTAATCAGCCTATACAGTCTGCTTCGAGAGCATTAACTGAAACTGAAAAACGCTAAAGTCAAATTGAGAAAGAGATGCTTAGTATTGTCAATGGCTTCACTAGATTCCACACTTACATTGTATGGTCGAAAAGTTCACCATATCTCTAAAGGCTGGAAAAACAAAAAAAAAAAGGTCCCATTGAAATTCAACCTACTGGAGCATCAAGGACGAACTGTTGATCAGTGGTGGTATTGTTTACAGGAACGATCGCATCGTAATTCCGGTGGCTCTCAGGAAGAGACTCATTGCTAAACTACATCAAGGGCATATGGGTACAGAATCAACCCTTAGACGCGCCAGAACATCCTTATGATGGCCAAGCATGTACAACCGACTAAAGCAGTTTATTGCCACATGTGAAGTCTGCAACACTTCCCAGACCCAGAACCAAAAAGAAGCTCTGATGAGTCATGAAATTCGCAACAGACCGTGGTCCAAAGTCGGTTCTAATATTTTCGAGAGGCGGAGAGAACACTATCTAGTATTGGTTGACTATTACAGTGACTGGATTGAATTTGACCTGATGAGAAACCAAAACTGCAGCTGAGATCATCAACTTGAAGCAAAAACAGTTTGCAAGATGGGGAATTCCCGAGGAGATCGTCACAGACAGTGGAACGAATTACGACTCCGCTGAATTCTCACAGTTCTGTAAACGACAGAACATCAAACACACCAAATCTCTACCTCATCACCACCAGAGCAATGGAAAATCGGAATCTGCTGTGAAGATTGTAAAGACATTGTTGAGGTAGACAGAGAAAAATGCATTAAATCCGTATAAAGCGTTGCTTGACCGGCATAACACACCCACCATTTGTATGACAAACATCTCCGGCACAAAGATTCCTAAACCGCCGAACAAGAACATAAATACCCATCAAAGGAACTTTACTTACACTGGAAATTGCAGAGAAAGTGTTAGTGGAGAAAACCAGGAAGACTAAGAAATCTCAAGTTTATTATAACAAATCTGCCAGAGATCTGAATGAGCTAAAGCCTGGTGAAACTGTTCGAGTAAAGCCAGAAACATTAGTCAAAGGACAAGAGTGGAAGAAAGGGAAGATGTTAGAGGGTGGTATCCCTGTGATATCTCGACATAGTGCATGATGGGAAAGGGAGAAGGAAGACATGTTGTTCGGAATAAAGTTGTGTTGGTGAACATCTGCTGTGTTGTCTCTGATCCGACATCTTATAACAATAAGATAACTCAACGTTTGCGCATCTTTACCAGTCATAACTGAAAATAGCAGCAGCCAGTTAGTGGTAATATTATTTTGTGTTTGAACTAAACAAAGCGGGTACCAAACGTTTAAGTCGAAAGCATCTCTACACGTTTTGACATTCGCTTGGTTTGCTTCAAATAATCTAATCAGTCACTATTCCACAAAAGGATTTTTAACAATTGTGATGTTCAAAACAACACTCTTTCGAAATATATAAGCTATTTTCTTTCTTTGTTTCCGAGTTGAAAGGTTTAATAAAAAAAAAAGCTATTCAGCAAAGTCGTTTCAATCAGAAGAAAAAAGAAAACTGTATGACAAAAGAATAGCACAGAGGGCAACAATAAGTCACCAGATGTGACTGAAATATATTAAAGGAAGGGTTTGAAATCTAAGCTACAAACTGAAGAAACACTTTTGAAAACCCATGAAGACTTAAGCGCGAGTAAAGCAAAAAAACGGAAAACATCAGCAATATCGTAGTTTCCCGTCAAACTAAAATAAAACAGCCTTGGTTTTCTTAACGTGTACTTCTACGAATGGTTCAAAGAAAAAGAAACTTCTGTCAAAAAATCAACCTATTTTCGTCTATCTAATTGGGTGAGATAACGTACACAACCAGTGTTAAATATGTAAACACATTACTGGTAAAACTATGACTTAATTAATAACACCTTGCGCGTTAAAATAAACCAATAGTGTTTTGATAGGGTAGTTTTTTGGGATTGGCTAGAAGTTGAAGCTTGCTGACTCTGTAATCCAATAAGATTTAATAAGAATTATAAATAACCTGCTTCAAGCTAGCTATTACGAAAGGTAATCTTATCAACAGCCACCGATTAAAAGTTAATAAGTTCACACCACTAAAATGGGTTAGATCATCGACTGCTCATTCCACAAGAGTTCTCGATCGGAGAGGAAGCCTAAAGCACTTTGAAGTAACAGGTTAGTTAAAACCTTTAAACCCTTTGCGTGCATTTTAAGTTAAATTAGATAAGAATACTGAATACTTTTCAAAGGCTATTTTCAGTTTACTTTCATGGTGATTTAAATAAGTTATCTTTGTCGTTTTTTTAAAAAATAAGACTTAGTGAAGCATCAGCCTCCGTTTAACCGAAGGTTAGAAATAAAATACGATGATAGTCACTTGATTGAAAGTCAATGGGTATATTTGACCGCGAAAGACTTATTTAAGACAAACCATTTCAAAATTAACAGACTCGACGTTTCAATTTCAACAATTACAGAATAAAAAACTGAAGTATAAAAATCTTCAAATGTTAGATTGAAAAACACTCTCATTTCACTTGTGATGACAGAAAAAATCAAGGGTTCAATTGATTTTCTTTCAAGAGATACATTTGTACGCGCGTGATCGCTCAGATGTTCTTTTTAGTTAATACATAAACAGTTAACACCTACTTCTATGACCGAATCGAAGGTGACGAAGATCGAAGATCAGAAATTTGTCACCAAATCTGAACCTCACGTATCCCAGGTTAGACAAACATTTGTGCTGAAACCTTCGTTTTAAAAATACTAGTCTACCTCTTCTCGTTTCATTTCAGATCAATCAAGGCTAGGAGGATACCCAATCAAAATCTTAAGATGAAATACCTTGCGCTAGTTTGTCTTATCTTTGGCATTGCCCTACACATGACACAAGCAGCCCCTGCTCCAGGTAAA